AAAAAGAAGTAGCATGGACTCGTTGAGACTGTAAAACCTAAAACGTCTCCTGTCCTTTATAAAAACCTACTTGGATTATACACCAGGTTCGGCATGAATTCTTTCTCTTATGAAGCCAAGAACCGAGTTATTACCCACCCAAGAAACCTAACAGCTCTATTGGAATGTAATATTTAGAATAGATTAGGTATTTTTGAGTGTGTGTGTGTGTGTGTGTGTACACATAGGTGCATACATTGTTACTTGGAAGTCTATTTCCCATAACGTTTACAATAGTTGCCAGATTAAGATTTTTTTTCTTTTTTCCCTTGTCAGTTTTAAATTTCTGGAATTTTCAACACAAATGTTTCTTACTTTTATGATCATTAAAAATAAATCAATGTAATTTATATATTACAATGTTTCATATTGTATTATGCTTCAGATAATTCTAAAACATATTTTTTCCTGGAATGTAAAAATACAATGTGTTAAGATAACTTGGGAGAAAATGATAATTTAATGAGATGTCTTCTCTGATACTGTGCTATTTCTTTTGTTTCTTAATTTCACTTTTGTGGTAGTTACATAATCTGGTGTCAACTTGAGACTCTTAAGAGTGAAGGGGTGGGGTTTAGCCTGTCAATCAGGTCGCAGCTTGATCACCTTATTTGGAGAAGCAATGGCAATAAACAGCTCACTCGCGGCCAGACCCACACTCTGCATCTTCCTGCTGACAAGACACATGGAGCCAGAGCCCTGGAGCTGGAGGAGCCACATGGAGACCCCTGCCAGTGCTGAGATGCTTCCACTGCCACTGGATCCACAAGACTTTCCACAAACTGGCCTGTGGTCTTCTGGCATTTGGCATCATTGTATGTGATGTGTGAATCTAAAGAATTAATAGTCTGGTATTGGACATATGGGCTAATATCCGACTTATGGACTTGATCTGAAATAGGATGGAATGTTTTCTTAATATCCAATTATTCTTTGATATAAAGTTCTTTCCTATACATATGTGAGTCTCCCTGAATTTGTTTCTCTAGTCTACCCGGACTAACACAACTTTGGTAAAATATGAGGTGGGGTTCAAAAGTTCGTGGGAAAATTCCGTTATCTTTTAAGTCCATTCTCACCATGAACTTTTGAAGCCCTTCCATGTAACAAGCAAAGGAACAAAATGATCATTTTAACCATTGTAAGTGTATAATCCAGTAACATTAATTACACTTACCATATTGTGATCCTGCTAGTTTTTGAATGACATTCTGAAACATTTTTCAGTGTATTATCATTGTTTATATATACTCTTTTCTTTCTTGAATCTGTCCCCAAGACATCATAATATAGCTACCATATTAAAACATAGGCTACATTTTTCAGAGCATTTTCAGGTTTGCACCTAAATTGCATGGAGTACCGAGGGTTGCTGTACCTTTTTTATCCTTTGCCCACGTGCAAAGGCCGATACATACAGGTGGGGCTAATTGAAGGGCGGAGAGATAAATGGCTGGTGAGCCTCGCCTCTCTAGTTCTCAGGTCTCTTGCTTTCTGATGGTCGGACCAGGGTGCAACTGCCTTAGCCAGTTCCCTGCTTCAGCTGGCAAGGCTCACTTCCTGCAAGACATGCCTGAGGAGAAGCCACAAGGACCTACCCCAGTGCAGCCCTGGGTGCTGGAGCAGCCGTGTGGAGACCCCTGCCAGCGCTGAGATGCTTATGCATTC